CGTCCAGTAGCACGTCTTTTTTCCTACCCCCTCCCCGCCCCCCTCCCCCAAATACTGACTGACTCCTTTTCTTGAGGCTTCTCTCCAATGCTGATTGTGAGCGGCCGACGTGTGCCAGGGTCCTCTACAAAGAGGTCAGCATGCTTTTTACTCAGCGCAGTTAAAAGAAAAAAACAAGACCAAATTGGAGTTCCAGGGAGTTTTTATTGAGTTTAATCAACAAAATCAGGATTTTACCATTCATCTTTTTTGCACTCAGAACTCATGAAGGTCTTCACAAGTCGGTGCTGCAACGCACATACAGCCAGAGAAAATACATTCTCAACAAAATCTGAGCTCCACTGGAGAATTTGCCAATGACCGATTTAACAGAAAGCCAATTTTCCCCTCCCTCCCCTCAATGTTTTCAAGGACTAGTCCATGTTGTTTGCTGGTTAACAGTAAGAATACCAACCTCCTGACTAGGGACCACTGGATTACAATATTCCACCTGAATTACAAATAATTTCTCTTCTTGAAATAAAAGTTCCAGTTTCTTTCAATAAAGGGAACAGCGACTATTTTCTTCTCTTGACACCCCTTCCCCACAATTATTGGTTAAAATACAGCAAGGCTGTATCTTAATAAACCCATCCCTCCCTCCCCACCCCTCCTTACCCTTCCCTAACTTGTCTACAGCAGAATTTAACAATGCTTCCACATGGGGGACGTATTAGTAACACAACGGTGAACTGAGCAAAACCTATAGGATAATCTGCCAAAGCCTCATTCTGAAGACTGGGTGCATGCTCTTTGGTCCAGAGACCTGCTTTATTATGAAGATAAGCTGTGATTCACAAAAGATGGACCAGAAGTTCACAGCAATCAGAAAACTCCCTGCGCAGACTACTGTCGCCCCACCTTTACCGTGGCGGCCGCACTGCTGCGAGTTCCTGGGAACAAAATTCACTTCGTCCTCAGAAAGCAACAGCTGCTTGGCCTCAGCGGCATTACCAAGTCCAGCACCAGGACAAGAACCACTGCAACGGCAGCCTGGGAGACGTGGCATGGCATCTCCAAAACATCTAGAACAGAAACCCAGGCAGGACAGCTGTCTGCTCAGGTTTGTGTCCTATCAGGCATTTGAAGAAAAAAAAAAAACACCCACAACTAAAAACCCAAAACAAAACAAACAAAAAAACAAACAAAAAAAAACCTCACCCCAAGCATGTGAAGCATTTTTAAATCCTTGCAGCAGACACCCTCCCCCATCCCAAGTAAAAATAAAGAACAAAAGATCAGAATGAGATGATTTGATACCAACGTGCACACAACATGAATTCATGTTGAGCTTCCCTGTTCTTACCCACAAAAAAAAAAAATCACAGAGGGCAAAGGAAAGATGCTCCCATCTCATTCTGGAAATTGAAACATGTATTTGAGACCAACCCACCCCCCTCCCTTTGGGAAAAGCCCTTCAGCAATGACAGTGCACTCCTGACGGCTCACACCCAGAGACCACCCTGTAGTTTCTCTCGAGTTAAGCCGGCTGAAGATGCATGTCACCCTCTTCACGGCCACTTCACCCAGCTGTGAAGCTCCATTTCCTCAGATTCACGGAGTGACGCTTTCAGACTTCCGAGAGGAAAAGCGTAGAATACATCAGATTCTCATTCACGTCATCTTTCTCAGAGGAAGTATTTGACCTAGGGCTCATCACTGAAGGCTCCAACTAACGCATAAACGTGAAGGCTGGTATGTGACCAGCAGAAACAGGAGCTCGCAAGGAATCTCAGGAAGCCAAGATTTCTACGCGCTCCTTACTCCTGGGTAGGAAAAAAAAAACCAAAACAAAACAACAACCACCCCCCCAAACAAAATTAAACAAAAAAAAAAGCCACAAAACAAACCCCCAAAAAAACCAATAAAACTAGGATTATCCTAGTCCTTTGGAGCATCTTTCCATTTGCAAGATCGCATCTGTTAGAGATAGCCTTCTAGCACCGAAAATAGGCCGCTTCCTTCTCGACAAGAAGCCACCCAAAAATGGTGCCCCCGATAGTTTAGGTAAGTGCCAATCCTCAATTAGAGGCCAAGTTTAAAGTAATACTTTCAAAAGTTCTGTGCTTCAAGAGGGACCATCAACGCATGGCACCAGGCTAACCTACCACAAATCCAAGCAGAGCACACACGTCTGACTCGACATCACTATTCCTGTTCTTGTTACATGTGCATGCCCTGGTAAGATACAAAACTTTTATTTACATTTTTCATGTCTTTGTTGCACTAAAATGATCCCTCTTCTGTCTCTCTGGAAAATCATAAGCTGGCTGCAGTACAAGAGCAAGATTTTACTTTTGGTCAAAGTTACCACCCACAAACTCCCACCCCCCACCCCCAAAAAGCACCCCAAAGTTGTTTACATTTAGTACCTGCCAGTCAGATGTAAGCTGTGTGGCTCACAGAGTGTCTGTGACCAAGCTCTTGAGTTTGTACTCTAGTGCAGCATTTGCTACAATTACAGAGTCACTGCTGACAAAAGGAAAAAAAAAAAAATAAAAAAATCCCAAACGCAAAAACCTTTCCATCTTGTAAAGTTGGTGTCAGGAGGCACCTGACTTCTACTTATGATCCTCAAGGAAACGGACGGGTAAGTCCGCCCTGCAGTTCCAAAGAATTTTACTCAAATTCAAAAAAGAAAAAGGGTCAAAATGGGGAGAAATTAAGACAATTAATTCCTGCCTTGAAGGTAAGCAAGCGTGGTGTGAGTGCAGCATCTGTATACGCGAGAAACAACTGAGCAAAAGGGTTTGCATTCATCCAGGTGCCTCCTGACAGCGTCGGTGAACAGGCTAAAAGGGAATTTAAAAAGAGTACGGTTTCTGATTTGTCTCACTCCTTTTGCCTGTAGATCAGGCCAAACATCAAGCATGTTGGGAGGGGCACAATTTAAAGCAACACTACTTGACCAGAAAGCACTTTTCAGCAATATACAATGCAAAATGACAGAGAGCAGTTCATGCCAAAACAGAGGAGATGGCAAGCAGCTTTCTGCAGCTTCTGACATTAATAGGGGTTTGCCCTTACCTGCTCACAAGTCTGTATAGAGGCCGCTCTGGGCAGAAAATGCACAATGCTGCAGGAAGTAAATCAGTCCCACAAAGCTCCAGAACTGTCAGTTTATGCATGTAAATTGGTTTTCTACGGTTCCTCTTAAACCCAAATCCACGCCTTATGCACATACTGCTCAGCAACACTGACACCCGCTGGATTTCCCCCACGCCATGGTGGGACGCAGATCATGGCCCCCTTCAGAGCTTGCCAAGTTCCTCAAGTTTCTAAGGGGGAAATCGAAGAGCCTCTCCCAACAGGCTGAGCTATGGACTTTGAGGCCTCACAGCCCCACAAGTGATCTCTTCCATACAAGGACAGTGTTGCGAGCACCAGAGCAAACTCACCCTGACAAGGGACGCTTGCAGAGGCCCGCTCTTCACAGAGGTCAGAGCAATTCTCATTGTTTAGTGTTGCAGAAAACTGAGCCCCTCTCATCTTTAGCTGCTCCCATAATCACTCTAATCCCTTTAACCCCAGCAACCTTCATCACAAAAGAAAAAGTTATATATGAACCCAAACAGAAAAAAAAAATCGTATTTACAAAGTTTGTACAATATACACATCTGATTTTCTATGGGACACACTGCACCAGAGGAAAGAGGGCCATGGCTCTGAAACAAGTCTACATATCAAGTGCTGTAACTACTAATGGAGACTCTTATGGAAACCAGTCTTTAGTGTTCTGCTAGAGCGTAGGGCTTTTCTTATGGCTCCTGCAAAGGATGACAGGCTACTCTTTCCTTCTGGAGCTACGATGCTGCACCTAATCAGCCCAGATTTTACGTTGGTTGCGTTTTAAATACAGGTATTTACAGTGTGGGTGAACTGCAGTTGCATATCAACTCCTCCAATTAAAAAAAAAAAAAGTTGAAGAAAAAAGTATTACCAATACGTTTCACCTCTCAGCCCTGGGCTTGGGTACTTGGGGAGGAGGAGAGGGGGAAGAGAGGGGAACTTTGACCTGAAACCAAAAACGGCTGTTGATTTCTCGGGCTGTGTCGGAAAGGTGATATTCTGAATGGTCTCATAGCATAAGGCACTTTGCACGAATAAGTAACAAGCTCTTTAGCTTAAAAACGGATGAGTAACCAGGGAGAAGTTGAAATGCACTCAGTCGATGGTTGAAGAATTTGAAATCGCAGACAAGCTCGTGTTCATCAAGATTCTTCTCTTTTCAGGGTTTCTCTTCTTCCCTTGCTGCCCCTCCCGCCCAAAGAAAAAAAAAATTTAAAACCAGCAGTTAGTGCAACTAATGTTCAATCAGCACACAGTGCAAACAAGTGGAAAAACAAAAAGACATTCCTCCTTTTATCTTCTTTCTTCCTTGTCGCCAAATTTAAAAAGAAAAAAAGGCCGAGCTCTTTAGTCTTCATAGTTCCGAAATGAAAAGATGAAGAAAAACCCACAAAGAGAAGGGTATCCCCAAAGAAATGATGTGTCACAGATCTGGATCAAAGGGCTTCACCTTCTGGCATGCGTAATCAAAGCCTAAAAAACAAACAAACAAAAAAAACCACAACCACAACACCCACAGTTAAATCAACTCTAAGCAAAACCAGAACCTAAGTAATGAATCACATGGACTATGCAGCAGCCCTGGAAAAGCAGAGGGCATTTGGAAGAGCTCAACCTCAAGCACAGCTTCACAGAAAGAGGCGCTGCTAACGCCCTCTGATACCTATGGAGCATGACTACCTGCTCGTTTCTTGTCCTTTATGAAGTGGCAAACGGTTCTCAGGCAAGGTCACAGCATTCCCCTTAAGGAAGCCACCCAAGAGCCTTTTCCAAGTTCATCACCGGGGTGGTTCTGTGTTTTGTTTTTTTTTTCATTTATTTGTTTCTAACACACAGAAAAAACTCAGCCAGCACAGCAGAGGCTGCAAGTCAGCTTAGCGTGACCAGCTAGGGCTCTCTCCTTGAATGATTTCGAAGAAGGGACAGAGGTTCATTTTAACGCTGCCCAGCAGTCTGCTTCTATGGCCACTTGGGGTTTTTTGTCACCCAAGAAGAACTTCAGCAGCTTCACCGGGATTGTCTTTCTAATTCACAATCTCCAAGAGGAGTACACAAAAGAATGATTTCCAACCCGAACTGTGCAGTGTCTGATCTTGCATTATACAGCATCTTAACTAAAACCAGATCAAACATCATCCTGCAGCTGTTCTGCTTGACTGCAATCCACGGTGAGTTTTCTTTTTACAAAGGGACTCATCAGTTTTTCCTGAGACAATGATCAGAAAGGGCACACTCAGGAGTCTCCGACAGTGAAACCTCATTTCCTTATGAGCCTACGTAGACGACCTCGAGTGGCAGCAAAGGTGAATTACAGCTTTGCTACCTATGTTTACTTGCAAAGGTTCTCTGAACCAAAGGATGCAAAAGATGCAGCACCTTTAGCTTGAACCTCTTCCTTCTAACCGGCGAGCTGCTGAGGCTCTTCTGTAGGTGCTCTGTTCTCAAAGCTATCCATTTTGTCTCCTCACCTTTTCGAGGACCACCTTCGTCTCTGCCCCTCACCAATTTCTCATTTTAGCTAAGCAATACAGAAAGAATTCATTAGGCTACCAGCAGCCATCCTGGCCTCTCCAATCACTATTCCCCGCTCCTCCTTTTCCCCCATTTTTGGTCTCCTTAGCATATGGTCAGCATTTCAATTAAAACAACTAAAAATTACTCATCTTCCCCTCCCAGCTTCAGCACATCCACAGAATTCCTTGCACTGAGACCCTATTTCAAACCCTTGTTTTCACATTCGGAGCCTCTCCGGCATATCGGTTTCCCTCTTCCCCTGCAGCAGCATTCACACATCAGTTCCTCTTTCATCCAACACAACTTCTCTATTCAGGAAGGCATTTACATACGCACATGTTTACTGTTTCTCATCTTCTACAGGTTCACTGTGGTATTCTGCCACATACAGGCTCTTGTCAATGTTGCTTGGTATGGGTTTAATTTCAGTTCCCAACTGCTCCTCGATACTTTTCAGGTTGAACCGATCATCATAGGTGATCAAATTGATGGCCAGGCCAAGATGACCAAAGCGACCTGGGGGGGAACAAAAAAAACCCCACTGAACTGAGTAACAGAAGGCTGACCGAAAAAGTCTGCAGACTGTGGAGTTACTAACATCGCTCCCTGACGATGAACAGAAATCTAGACCCCGCCACAGGTCTCTACAACTTTCACATCAGTCTTCGTTAAGGAGTTTCGTACCGCTGTACGATTAAGAAAACCCAGGAGGTTCGAAATGCTCTGACCAAAACTCCTCATTATTCACGACCAAAAAGTCTTCCGCTACCGCATTACGCAAGTCCAGCCCTTCTTCAATAACAGAGCTCCTGAACAAGCCTGAACCACAAAGTTCAAGCACACCCAAGTTCCTTTGTTTACTGCCTTTAAGGGTACGCTTTACTCATGTGTAGACAACAGAAACGTACCTTGGGACACACACAGAGGAAAACTACGCTTAAGACACCATGGAAGCTAGGTTTTCAGTACAGAATTTTCCCAAACTGCAAACAGGAGCATAAGTAAGTCTCCCGAGATTAAAGCAAAACATGCTCCGGCCCCCCACCATTAGGCTGTTCAGGTTGGCTTCAAGCGAACAGCTCTTTATTCGGGTATTTGTGAGGATAACCATCTGAGAGGATACTCAAAAATAAACGTCAGAAAAATCAAAGCTACCTAAAATAATTCTCAGATACAGTAATAAAAAACAGAAGCCAATTCAAGCCTAAGAAACATCACAGCCATCAGCAAAATTGTACCTAAAAGACAGTTTTTCCTCTCACCTGATCTGCCAATACGATGGAGATAAGTCTCCGCCAGCTTCGGGAAATCAAAGTTTATCACCACATTCACAGCTTGGATATCAATACCTCGGGTAAACAGATCTGAAAGACAATCCAGATCGTGAAGAAAGTCTATTTCAACGCAATCATATGCTGACAGTATTTAAGGTGGAAAGATTTAACAATGATTAACATTGGCTTGCACTAGTTTCCAGATAGAAGCTTCCCTTGTATGAAAGACAGTTTACATACAATTTTGTTACGATGTCTTCCTGCTCTTTATCCATTATAAACAGGAATAATACAAGAAGAATGACCAAAACACCAGATCTGCACGTCCATGTCAAAAAGGCAATTAGCACGAAGCTAGTCTTTGCCACATTAGGCCATTTCTGAGCAGGTCTTCTTATAGAAGCATCTCCTCACACATGATTCTGCATTGCCAATGTCACAACAGACTTGAGATCTGAACTACATCCCGCTAGCTCAACTATTTTTATTCCTCTTCTGGTGATTTTTGTTAAGACGACCCAGACGCATGTGGTGATCACCAGACAGATCTCAAACGGGCCGTACAATGGAGAGCTCGAATCATATACAGGCCAATCAAAATTATTACAGTATTTAGAAAATATGAGCTATAAACACTTAAAGAATCGTAAAACTTACTCGGGGGATCCTAGCCACAGTTCTACCGGTATTTTGTAAAGCTTACGTCCCACCAACTCAGAGAACACTCACGTGTGAAAATATGCAGAAAACATAACTGGTGCAGAAAATACCATCACAGAAAACCAATTTGTTAGCAAGTTACACCTTCACTGTTTGTCACAAAAGACAAAAATTTACATGCCTAAAGGCATGCTACATGCAGGCTTGACAAAGGCATCTTACCAAAACAGACCGTTTTGTTTTATTACAAATCAAGTGATCTATTATACCTGGGCTAACAGCTAATCCGCTTTCTATCACAACCTTGAGAAACAGGAAAGCGTTTACAAATTCTTACCAGTGCAAACAAGATTGCGGCATAAGCCATTTCGGAAGTCGTGGAACACACGATTGCGGTGCTCCTAGAATTGTATATAGATAAACAAAGGAAACAAACAAACAGTTGTGACTTTCAGGTATATTCAAGTTACAAACACTGAGCTTCAATCACGTGAGAACTGCTGAGTCAAATGAAGTTGCTAGGCCATATCGTTTAGCACTTCTTACCCGTATATTCTAAAGAATTTACCAGAGGGGCCCTTGGTACCACTTTTAGACAAAGACTTAACTGACTGCATTTTAAAGGTTCCTACAGTTGCATCAAAGCCATCTCAGAATAAGAGCCTCTCAAGCTACAATTACATGAAACCCACATCAATAAAGTTAAACTGATATTTTGACCATCACCTTTCCTCAGCCCTCAGTCAAATTCAATACACATTTTATTTATTCCCTTAAAAACTGAGGCCAGCAGTAACTTCATTTTCCAGTGTGGAGTGTTTTTCACTACCGATTCAGAATGAGGGGTGAGACAAGTCAATTGTCTGCGAAGACTCTCCTCTCACAAACAAGTCACTTTGGGCCACAGAAAGTTTAAGTAATATCACTGTTAAGGAGTGAAATTAATGGCAGGAATGAACAAGCTGAAGTTCTCCACACAAGCATAACTGCCTTTTGCCACAAAGATCATCTAGTGACTGATCAAAACCATACAAAAATCAAGACTTCAAGGAACCCATTTGCCTATCTCGCTGCTCTCAATACCGACATCACTTCTATTTCTGCTTTCTTAATTATTGGTTTGCATTGGCATTACCTGTCCGTTCCATGAACAGCAAGCTAGATTTCCTCTGAAGCTTTCATTTGATTTTATTCTAGCTTATATATAACAGGAAAAAAATATTTTACAGTACTACTGTTTCACATGCATCTCTTCAACCTTCTGAGATCTTTCAGTATACTTGCTGAAAACAAGGGAATTACGAGTATGAAGCCAGAGGACACGAGAGCTAACATACAATTAACAGAAACCTCTGCACTAGCAAAGCTGCGCTGGCATTTTTCACCATCTACATCAAGGACAGAGACCCTCAGTCGCCATATACCAGTCGTGGTTTTCGCCGAGAGCTCTCATCAAAGCCACCTCCCTGACTTCTCAGATTGCTCTGCAGTCACAGTGCAAGATTTACTGTTTGCAAAGCCATGCAGGGCATTCAACTGGCCGAGTATTGGGGTTTTTGTCATTTGTTTTAAATCGGGCTCATTTTCATCTGTGTCAGTTACACTGTGTGGTCTAGCATGGCTTCCCACGCTGGCACATGGAGGCAGCAGCAGTAAGAACCACGCCTTCTGGCCACGGCCTGTGCTTACACTGGACTAATGAATTCACCTGACCTGAAGTACTCTTAAATACCAACTTACCAGCTACCTTTAATAGTCTGGAAAGAGGTTGGGAGGAGCTGTCTAAAAACAACTCTATAGCAAAGAAATACATGTTTCAGTTTTCAAAGAACATGCACATTTAAAGCAAGCACAAGACTTACTTCAGCTATGCAGTAAAGCTCGGGGTGGCATGGAATAAACTGTTGTAGACTTCATACTCACCTGCCTCATTTTAGCATGGATATAGAAGCAGGAATAGCCCAGCTGGGAGATCTTTTTGGCTAGCAATTCGACCCGTTGAGAGGAGTTGCAGAAAATGATCGACTGGTTAATCTGGAGCTGAACATATAAGACGTGTGCTCGGTAAGTGCAGCATTTGACTAACAAATGATCCAAGACGTAAGTCTAAACTCCCTCCAGAAAGCAAGCAAAGCAGGTATACTGCTGGTAATTTACACAGTATGTATCTTTGTAGAACAGGAGAGACAAGTAACAAAGTTCTGTAACACAAAGGTGCAGGACAAGAAGCACGTATTTTTAGCTTCCACTAAATAGCACACTTTGACAACGAAAAAGTGTCGTTAGGCCATCCTTGCCACCCTCAGTCTTATTCTTGGATCCGAAAGGAGAAAATCTTCTGTATGTTCTTGACTCAGCCCTACTGCTTACCCTGGAAAACAGCGTATTGAGGCAGTGTACTTTCTGACGCTCAGTTACATAGGCATAGTACTGGGTAACTCCCTTCAAGGTCAGCTCCTCCATCAGATTAATCTCATAGGGTTTCTGCAAATGGGAATTCTGAAAAATAGATAAGGATAAAGCCGGTATACCTAGATGCAAAACAACGTAAGTACTTGCCACTCCGTAGCACGTTTAACTTCCTCCGTGGTAAGAATGCGCTACCAGGCCACTCGCTCTTCAGGCTATACAGAAAACAGATTACTTAAAACAAAGGATTATTTATAAACCCAAGGCGACCAAGCAGGTCGCACAGGAGCGCCCTCCGGAAGCAAATCAGTGCAGATGGCATGTGACTAATGTACAAAGTGGAAAACAGTACCTTATAGGCAAGAACTATCCATACCTAGCTTTCCCACTGAAGTTACTGTAGGTCAAAAATTATTTTCAAACTTCTGTCCTCGATTTAGGCCAACTTAGATTAAAGCGGTAAAGTTTGGACGTGTTAAAAAAACCCCGAGCACTAACAGCTACGCGCCACTCATTCACACATTTCATGTGCAACATCACCATCATCGTAGCTATGTGAATACATCTGCACTCACCATGAACTTCTGTACACTCAAAGGGAAAGTGGCCGAGTAGAGCAAAATCTGTCTGTTCTTAGGTAGCGTGAGAATAATGTCTTCCATTATTTGAACAAAATCTTGAGACAGCAACTTGTCTGCCTGTAAAAACAGAAGTAATAAAGAGTAAGTTAATTCAATGGGGCAAGATTTCAGTCTTCTGGTAGTACCACATGGGGGGGCGGGTCTGTGCGTGCAGGAAACCACGAACAAAACCCAACCCAAGACACCAGGAGCATTCTCCTTGCTCTTATGATGGGTCCATCCCCTTTGGAGCACAGTCCACACTCCAAAAGATGTGTGATTTAGCTACTGGAGACAGTATTCATGAGTAAAAGGAAGTTTACCCTCTCTTGGTTTTCAGCCCTTTGATTTAAATGGAATCAAAGTCAGGAAAAATAAATGTAATCTAAATTAAAAAGTTATCAGGGTTCTTATCAGACTCATCCAAGAGCTTTCACGCAATTATTTTCTCAAGCTCTCACTCAGAAGCCTGTACGCTTCATAAATGTTCATAAATCAGTTTTATATACAATTATGTGGCAAGCACAGCTCGCTCATTATAAACTGAAACCAAACAAAATGCATTCCTTCATTTCAGTACAGTTACTCTATTCTTCAGGAATAGCGAAGAAGACAGGAAAGTCAAATCTTCCTAGGCTGTTTTCATACAGGATTCACATGCAAAAAAAATTCTTCCTCCAAAATACCTTCTCAAAAATACCAAGAAACGGGTGAGCTATAACCTTATAGTGTCTCTAAGCAAAGTTTGATTTGTTGCTGTGCGTAACAAGAAGACTCGCCGAGACACATCATTGCTTTAACTTGGTGTTAAAATCCCAAAACATTTAATGTGAGCAACTTGCCTCATCCAATACTATCATCTGGACATGCTCAACTTTTGCTACTCCTTTCTTGATGAGATCGAGAATTCTCCCAGGGGTAGCTATCACCACATGCACTGTAAGGTTAGAAGAGAGAGGGGAAAAAAAAAACAAACAAACACAAACGGTTAAGGCGACTAAAACAATGTTTCCAGCATTCGTGGCCATGTTTCATACAAACAGTTTGAGAGAGTAACGACAGTGTAGCAACAGCGAACAAGACATATTGTAGTCTGTTCTGTAACAGACAAACAATAACAACAAGCAGAAATTCCACTACCACACCGTAAAAGCCACAAAAAAAACCAGCAACTGTAGCGTAGCAAAAGTGCTCCAACCTGTATCATCAAGCCTCATTATGTCATCTCGCAAATTGGTTCCTCCCGTTGTTGCCATCACTTTGGCACCTCCCATGTGTTTGCTGACTTGGATACAGATTTGACTGACCTGCAGGGCTAGTTCACGGGTGGGAACGATCACCATTGCTGAAAGTTAAAAGCATCAGTGTGAGTTACTCATAACACACTGTATCTTAAATACTAATCCTCAGAGGAGACAGAGACTTCATGAAAGCTACACTTCAAATGGTACATTTCCACTCTGGAAATGCTGAACAAGACCTAGAAACTGCTTACAAGAAGGCAAATTCTGTGCAAGGGTTCTCCATCCCTCGACATTCCCTCCACACGAGTCCCCCAGCTAGCATGCTCGCTTATTACTCCAAATCCACCTTCCAGGGCAAGAGAGTAAAACGTAGAAGACATCTTCCATCTCAAGCTTCTGAAGGCAACTGTGGGACTTTTAAAATTCCACCTCCCCTCCACCACTCCCCACTAACTTTCTTCGAAAGTACAAGCAGATAATCTATGCTGCTCAATTTCACCGACCAGTTTTAAATTCAGGTCTGCTGCATCGCAACCGACACCATTACCTGGCTGCAGCTAAGCGAGATCCATCTCAACTGACCTTGTATATTGTCCTTCTTTAAGTCTAGCCGTTCAAGTAAAGGAATGAGGTAGGCTCCACTCTTGCCTGTTCCATTTTTCGCTCTAGCCAAGATATCCCTACCAGATAAAGCAATGGGGATGCTCTCCTCCTGAAATGCAACAACAGACAGCGCATGAGCAATCAAAAGTCACACTCGCTAAAGAAGCTGGCCAAATTTAACTCTCCTCGCTAACAGTGTCACGTGAAATCCGACTGTTTCACGAACAGAATATCCCACAAGCATTGCAGGCTCACAACAGGAAGGCGTTAAACTTATCAGTAAAGAGTTCCCCAACAAAGCAATAGCTCCACTCCCCATATCCCACTTAAAAGTCCTTATCCTGGTCGTAAGAGAACCAGGGATCAGGTACCACAGGAACGGTAAACCCATACCAACACATTAGGAAAAAAGTGAAAAATTAGGGAAAAAAAAAAAGTGAAGAGGCAGTAAGAGTCACTAGCAGACAACTCCTATGGAAAAAGGCACCCACCTATATCTTAGCATCAGAACCATCTCAGCCCGCGTAATTCAAACCTGCACGCTCCTGTGATATACTTCTCATAAAAGCAGTAGGCTTTCCTTTCGAAACTTCAGCCGTTCAAACACAGGCCCCAAGTAGTTTCCACTTTAATGCCTCTTACAGCAACATCTAAAGAACCCTCAGCCTTTTGGAAAGGCAGCATAATTAGAATCTGTTTCAAAGCAGACAAATTACCTAAAAGCCAAAGCTTTCTCATGCCTTAAGGAGATAAAGTGGCAGAGCTGTGTCAATGATAATCCTCCAAAGAGCAATCAAAAGAGAGTTCAACCTCCCTGCCCCCATCAAGTTTACACATCAACAGTTCTTAATAGAACAAGCCTTAAAAGTAAAAGCAAGATGAAGGGACAGAAAAGTAAACTCGATAATGTATTAATCTCTCTCCCATAATCTCCATTACGCTCCTTCCAGGGGCTTACGATAAAAAAGCCAAGGCCACGCGATAAAGCCATGGTTATCTTCGTAATAACCAAAGGCACGCAGCTTAAGGCAACTCGGTTTTCCAGAATTATTTACAGAATGGCCCTGTTCTCACCGGGGCTACTTATGTGAAGGATGTTACTGAACAAACAATTAATACACTAATGCCCCCAAAGTGAAAAGGAAAATCCAAGTTAACTTCTCTAAAGCCCAGGTCAGTCCCATCTCTAAGTCACCCATTGCACGATTTAGTCAAGTGTTAGAAATTCTTCCCTTCCCCAAACGGCCACCAAGTTCTACCAGTCACAGTCCCAGTTTTCCCAAATCACAACACAAGCGTCCAGCGCTTAAGCATGAAAAAGAATTTCAGTAAATTTATAAAAATTCAACGCTGCTTGTAAGTAGTCTGTTTGTAAACAACCTGAATAGGAGATGGTTTTTCCCAGCCCATTTCAAAAATTCCCATCAGCAACTCCCGTTTCAAACAGTAATCTTCAAACTCATTTCCTTTTGTGGAGGTCACGTCCTGAATAATCAAAAGAAAAGCACATCCATAAGGTTAGGTCATACAACCCGCAGCTGTACATTGGTCTGACTCAATGAGAGATTGCCTATGCAGGAAGACCACACAGTGCATTCCATTACTACCTCGGTGCTCCCACTAATCTGTGCAATACCATACAGTGAAGAAGGAAACATCAGCTCTCTCAAAACCAAATACAGCACTGTGAACGTACACTAACATCTTTCGATCTGCCTTGCGAGAGACGCCGACAATCACTCTCATGCTGTAAGACTGACAAAGTAAGAAATCCACAGTAAACTCCATTATTGAGCTTTCCAAGCAAAGCATCTCTCCCAAGCAGTTTCAGAACAAATTAATTCTTCAGTTAAAACAGTAGGCGCTGAACTGCTTTTGAATCTTTGCTTAGGACAAACATTTTGCCACTGCAGCTTCTCCCACATATTTTGTTTAATTATTTATTCCTACAATTTACTCATCCTTACCGAAGTTTTGATTCTCAAATCCTTTGGAGGGAGTTTTAAAGTCTTCTTCCAGTCATCACCAGGTCTATAGCAAAAATAAGAAAAATAATTTTTTTTTAAAATCTGATTTAATAATTTTATTTTGCATTCTTATTTTCTTAGATACAGCAATGAACATGTAACATTTTCACCTCCTGAAAGCTAAAAGCGCCTACACATATGAGCTCAAGTCTTCTCTAAGCTAAGCAGGATGCAACAGGCAAGAAACTGTAAACAGAGAAAATCAGCAGTCTGCCAAGCACACAGAGAATTTGTGAAATCTTTATCCAGTCATGATTCAAGTCCCATTTTTAGGGCACTGAATCAGCAGAACACAGATTTAAAACTGAGCACTGACCTAGTCATATGACAGAAACTGGCTATAATAAATCCACACGAGAATATTTCACCACTTAAAAGAAAAACAAAGTTTCTCTTGCCCAGGGAACATCCATTCTTAATCCGTGCAGATAACAAACACTTTTGCAGAGAACATTACATAAACACATACTCCACTTGCTGATCAAACGTTGTCTTTTGCCCTCAATGAGTTAGACACCCATCCTCTTGGAAGCTACTGTACAGAGGAGAGTAAGTCCTTTTCCCCAATTCCCGGAAGTCACGAGTGAATTTTGATGAGTTTTAACTCATCGGTTTCCTTAGAGTAACCCATTGGGGGTGGGGGGGGAACCAGTTAGGCAGACTTTAGGAACCCGAGTATTCCATTACACACTCTTTGACAACAGCTGGCACTTCCTTTGCAAATAATCGAGTAACAAAATAAAAGTGAATGTTGTTCAGGGTGAGGAAGAACCACGGGGGGAAAAAAAAGAAAAGGAACACATTACCACACCATCCAAGTCTTTTACATCTTTCAGAATTTCCAGCCAGCACGCTCACGTTTTATTAGCACGTTTCCAAAACCAGTCTGATGGTAGGAGGGTATCAGAGCGGTACCACAGTATCTCAGCTCAGGCTTTGATGAATTAAAGCCAGAATGTTACACCAAGGAGAGCAAGCGCTACTATTTAAGACCAATCACAAAAGATAACCGACTTTAAAGGATTTCTCACCACGAGAAAGAACCACAACAAACAACTGAAACGCATACACAACTGGACTGAGACTAGATGGCGTTTCCTCCTCTGTCTGAAACTTCAGTTTGGTTCCTTCCCACTCCTCAACTTCCCTCTCATACCACTCGCAATGAGCAAAGAAAACAGGATGCTGCTGCTCAGTGGGCTACCTCTGGCAAGCAGCTACGTGTTCTGAAAAGCAAAGTGTCAAATCCAGTTTTCACAATGAACATGCTGCAAAGATCGCTGTCAGAGGGAAGCTCGCACACGGAAATACAGCTTTCTTTTCATAATGAACATCACAGGAGAATTCTAACCGCCAAACTCATAAAACAACAGAAGAAAACTTTTTTAAAGGGGAACCCCAGAACACTTTCCCATACCTGACTTACAAACGTTACTTTTGTTGCAGTCGATACAAACACTTACTTAATAGCGGTGGTCATACTCTGTGCTTGCTGTTGAGTGCCGTTATTGATTGTGTTGGCATTTTTCAGCTGGTTCATCTGTTGCTGAGTTTGCGTGCCTCCACCTCCTGGGCCCCCGCTGGGTTTTACCGGGCCTCTCAACTGCCCATTCTGACTGGATAGACCCATTATAACAGGGTTCTCTGTTCTGGCCGTGCTCATGTTTTTATTTTTAAAGATGTCTTTTTAGACTTCAAAACTTTGAAAGTCAGTACAGAAACTGTAATAACAGTTTATTAGACTCTCCAAAATGAAGAGATAAATAAGTCTTGCTCAATATATGAGTCCTTTATTGCAATGCAGGCAAGCACCTGTAAGTCACTCAAAAGTAAAGTAGTAACTTGCTCTGATGCACTGTGGATCAACTTTTTTTTAAAAAAAGCCCTCTAACAAAGTTGAGTTATATCAGAATTCACTTGCTTTGATCTGAAAGAGAAGCAGACGATAACAATTAGTATGTGGATTTTTGCCTACATAAACCACGCCAGTTTACCTTTGTATTTTAAGAATCACTTCTTCCCAGGCAGCACGCAACAACAGTACTCGCTTTTCTATTTTCTCAGTGATAATTACCAAGATGCACGTCAAACTTCTTTCTCCTTTGTATAAAGCTGCGCCCACCACCTTCAGTCACCGAAGATAATTTTCCAAACAGCTATACTTCCAACAGCCTTCCAGTGAGTAACCACTTGAAAAATACTACCTGTCCGCCCCCCTCCATAAAGCAAGCATGAATTATATCAATTGCTTTGCTGGTTCTTGAAATCCCCCCACTCCTGGGACATGGCAAAGCAGCCTTAAGATACTAAGCAACAACGTTAGCGCAAGTTTGTGACAGGAAGCAAGGCCACAACACCAAGCGGACATTCCAGTTTGAACTGAGGAAACCTTGAAGTTACTCTGATCACCCTTTTCACTTTGAAACGGAAAATGAAATTATGTTACCTTTTTTTACTTAAAAAAAACCAAAACACCACACACAGAAAACCCACCCAAACCAGCTTACCCTCTTCCAACCCAAAAAGTTAGTTCAACCAGCTTGCTCAAACTTTTAAATCGGGTATTGATTTAACACCGTTCGAAATAGTGAAACTAACGATATCATCACACTGAACTGACAGTAGCTTCCTGTTTTGTTAAGTCTAAGTGACCGAGCCTAAACTGCAGCAGTGAGTAATATACACTTATGCTAGATATCTAGCTTCCTGCTTATGTGCTGCGCATGACATTACCTTCCAGCTGTCAGTAACAACTTGTAATTGCTCTCAAAAGCTAACGCTCAGTGCACATGACTTAATAGTATTGACACCGTATCTAACAGAAAGGTTGGCAAAATTGTAAAGAGATAATACAAAGTCTGCACCTTACATAAAGTAAACGTGGACCAGAACTGAAAAACTCCTTACAACGATATTAGGGAGCCAAGACGTTCCATCTGAAACCTTTTGGAAGCAACAGAAAGTAGGTTTGCCCGTACAATTTGTCATCACAACATGTCTGTATCTTGGGAAAACACAAAGGAAAAACCAGCAGACTACTGCTTCCTAACTTCAATGTCCACAAAAAATGTGCATCTCCCCACTGAATAAAAGGCAAATTCGAGAGCATTTCAAGAGAATGGAAAAGGAATTCAGACTCTTCCCGGTTGTTTCCAAGTGTGTCAAGTCTGGTTTCACAGCAAAACTTTAAAGTTCGCAGAACTAGTATTTTTCTGCTAGTTATCTTCCTAACTGGAAGCACTGTTTCAAAGAATCTTCGAAGAGAGGCTTCTCTTGCCCATTAACTTTCTAAAACCCGGACGAGTCACAAAAGTAACCGGGGCCACCCAGAAGACCGAGGAGTTCTCCGATATTGTAGGAGACAAAACCTCCGAGTCCCTTAACCTCCCCTCGCTCGTAATTACCCTTTAAAAGGATAGAGATTAAAGGAGAACGACAGCCTCCCCGAACCCCACAAATCTCCCCGCTCAGAGACGAGAAGCGCCACCATTTCGCAAACCCGCGGTCCGACGGAAAAAAG